AAAGGCCTTTCTGCCAAACTGCTGTGGCACAAGAGAATACAGCCCATCACCACAGTAAGGTGAGTGTAAAATATGTCTGCCAAGTTCTTTGACACACCTCTGTTCAAAAGGTGGAGGCTAGTTCCCTGCCTTTTGAACGTGGGTGGTGCTTAGTGACTTACTTCTTTATTATTGTTATTATTATTATTATACTTTATTAGTTTTAGTTTTTAAAAATTTTGTCATAGGGCATGTGCTCTCATAGGAGAGAGATGGTTGCATGAGAGGGAGAGAGAGTGAGAAATGACCACCTGGGAGGATGACCATGCCACAATCCCTTCTCCTCCGTTCTCCTCTTGGGATGTGGGGCGCACACACACACACACACACACACACACACACACACACAGCGTATTTTACAAGCCGCCAGGTCCAGGACTTGAACTGCCATGTCAGTCATGTGGAATCTAGTTCCCTAACCTTCACACCACCTGCTGGCCTCGTGACTCACCCCTAACAAACAGAATATGGCAGAAATGACTTCTAAGGCTGAGTCGTAAATGGTATTCGAAGTTTTCTTCTGTCTTGGGTCATTTGTTTAGGGAGAAGTCAGCTAACTAAGCCGCTGCTGAATTCCTGGCCCTCAGAAACTGTGAGCAAATACATCACTATTATTGTTTTAACCCAGGACTCTGAGGTTATTTAAATCACTAAATGTTATGGTAATTTGTTACACAGCTAGAGATAATTGATACAATCACAGAAAGCGTTGGGTTAAAATAAAAGCCTGTCTCATGAGCCCGTCCCATGGTGCAGTGGTGCACGGTGCAAAGGGAGCCAGATTCCACGTGGCCAATCACAGTCCAATTCTTGGCGCCCATGGCTTGAAAACCATGACAGGCATGTGTGTGTTCATTCCCAGGATCCTGCTAAGATAGGAAAATGGAGGAAAAATGACTGGTGTGACTGCTGGGGAGTACCTTCTCTCTCTCTTGTGTACACACCCTGAAGAAAACACAATCCACTTCCTTTACCTTCTCTTCAAAATATTAAGAACATCGGGAACCAGCAGTTAGCGTAATGGCTATGTCGCTGGACTCCCACGTAGTCGACCGCAGTTCACGTCCCGGACCCGGTGGCTTAAACCTCACGCCGGGTGCGTGTGCGTGCGTGCCCAAGATCCTGAGAGGAGAATGGAGGAGAAGGGATTGCGGCGTGACCAATCCCCCCTGGGGGGTGATTTCTCGCTTTCTGTCTCTGTGTCTCTATCTGTCTGGCGAGCGCACGCGCCCTCTAGTGAAAAACCTCTCCAAAAAAAAAAATATTAAGAACATCCTTGCTGTTAAATATGAAATGAAAAGTGAAAAATCAGACCAATATTCCCTAGAGATTGCACAGATCCTCGTTTATGGGAAAGGGGTCATATCTTGCCTATCGGCTCCTCTGTGCCACGAGGGTCCCGGGGAAGGGCCTGCTGGAGGGCAGCTCTGTGGGCAGCTAGGAGGATGAATGGAGAGGGTCAGACAATCACCATTTGCACAGAGGCGCTGGGTCTGCAGTGTCTGCTCCCTGAGGGCTGACAGGGTCTCTCCTGTCCATCCATAAATGTACCCAGGAGACCTCAGTTCTAACCCGGTATATCACTAACCGGACCCTTGACCTCCAGCAAGTCCCATCCCTTCTTTGCTCCTCAGTTCCCCCACCTGTAAGAGGGGGACTGGACTAGCCATTTTCTGTGTCCTGTCCCCCACACACGGGGCAGCCTTCTGCTCCTTCCCACCTCCCATGCAGTCTCAGGGCCACTTCCGGCAGCAACAGAACAGTGCTTGGCGATAAGGAGACACGGCTGAGTAAACGAACAGCCTCAGGGTCCTGGTTCCCGAGTTGTGCCCTGAGCCAGCCTGTAAGGCTGCGTGTCATCCCGGGTAGGACTCCTCAAGTCCCTTTCCTCGGCCATATAAGGAGAAAGGACGAGATTCGCTGACAGGTTACAAGCACGAGGACTGAGGGGAAAGCTCTGGCCTCTCAAGGTCTCGGTGACTAACAAGGAATGAAGAATAAATTAAATGCCACTCACCACCTCCTCTTGGTCACACTCCCATGCCTCCCTGCCTCCCTCGAGCCCAGGGCAGGGGCCTCTGAAGGGAGGCAGCTTGCTGGGCCCGGGACTCTTGAGACGCACTGAGAGGAGCAGCAGCCTCCCAGTGAGTGTGGGTCAGCAGAGCTCCCATCCGCGACCTGCCCAGCCTCACCAGTCCCACCCCCAGTCTCAGGACTCCAGCTGGGCAGGAGAATCTGCCCACAGGGCACTCCTCCCCCCATCCTGGTGTCACAGCTCCCCACTGATCTGAGTTCCACCTCTCTCCCATCCAGCTGGGAACCATCTCCCCAGAACACACCCCACAGCCCACTTTCCGTAGACCTACTATTCAAAGCTCTTCGGCATCCCAGCCCCTTTCTGGCTTTCCTCTGGGCCAGCCATGAGTCCTTTTAGGATGGCTTCCATGGCTCTGTCCACTCCTGCTCTTCGTTCTTGTGTCTTCCTGCACCTGAATGCCACGGCCTGCATTTCACCTTCTGAGATCGTTTCCATCCTATAGGTTGGTGTCAAATTCCTCCTCCTCCAAGAAGCCCTCCCTGATCCCTGCTCCTGACTAAGACTTTTCCCTCCCAGGGACTGCAGTGGCTCGAGCCCCTGCTGTGATGGTTAGTTGTGTACCTCTCTTTCCTCCCATTCAGTGTGGAATTTCTGGAGGGCGGAGCTGGCTCCTCAATCATACATAGAGCACAACACGCACTGGATGTCAAGAGGAAAGGAAAAGAAGGCTTATGGGAGGGCAGGTGGTGACCAGTGCTCAGGCCCCATGCAGGGGGAGGGACAAACGAGGAAGCCAAGTTGGGTCCACATGAGATAGCAATCGTGTCAAGAACCTCGATCGGCCAGTGTGTGGACTTCGGAGTCCTGCAGCCTGGGTTTGAGTCTTGCTTCTGTCACTGACTGCGTGACCTTGGGCAGGGCATGGGGACTGACTGGCACTCAGTTTCCTCACCCATGAGCAGGAGTGAGCGTGAGAGGGGGGTAATGGCTACCAAGCACCCAGCACTCTTGGCTCAGGGCACCTGTGCAGTGATGTGACCCCTGGAACAACACGTGAGCTCCCTCAGTCACCTGCAGAGTGACACTATGAGTCAGTACACAGTTCACAGCTGTCACCTTCTTCGAAGTTGAAATTCTGACCATCCTCCTTGTGCAAGTGAGGAAACGAGGTGCTCAGGGAAGTGAGTGCTCTTGCACTAGAGGGTTCAGCCTGGCGAGGGCGGTGGTCAGCAGGGGCTCCTCCTCAGGCTCCATAGGGTCAGCAGCAAGGGCAGGGAGGTGGGCAGCTCCCTGTCAGCTGCCACTAAAAGAACCCACGGCCAGCTAATATTCTGCCCTGGGAGTCAGGTTTCAGCTGACTCTGGGTAGACCCTGATGCCCTGTCCAGCCAAGCCTGGAGTCACATGAGTAACCAATCCCAGGGGCAGGCCTAGGGCTGCTGCCAGGCCTGCTGCATGCCTTTGTTCCCTTGGCTCTGCCCCTCCTGCCTCTACAGAGCAGAGTCAGCAATGGTCAAGGGAAGGGGCAGCCAGGATGCGGGTGGAGAGGGGCTGCGAGTGGGTGATGCAGCGGCAAGGCCCCTGGCATGTGAGACGTGCAAGGAGTCCAATGCAGCACGTCCACGAGACAGGCCTGTTGCCGGTTCATGTGGCCTCTTCATGTGAGTTAGGAAAAAAGTGCCCTCTCTGGTTGGACAGATCCCATACGGAGGCGTCCAGCTTGCAGGGTGGATTGTGGGTGGAATTCGCTCTCCACTACCTCATTGTGCAGTGAACAATACGCACGACCGTCCAGGCAACCTTGCTTACCAAGCACCCTTGCAGGGCCAAGTCCTGAGGTGCTGGGATTTGTTAAGCTGTGCAATTCAGTTTTATGCACTTTTCTGTGTACTCGCCATATTTTGCAATGAAAATGCCGTTCATCTCACTCAGGCATACCATCGTTTACAATAACCTACCATTCCTGCCAGTGTTTTTCTTTGCTTAAATTTATATAATTATTCAGCAAAAAAAAGTATCATGGGAGAAAAATTGAACGAGTTTCCTATCCATAAAGAAGAGAACTTTTTAATATTGGAATATTAATAGTGGAAGGAATGTGGCTTTAGGAGTCAGAGAGACCTGGATTCAAATCCTGCTTCCTAAGTGCTGACTCTGACAGTGTTGTCTGCCACCCACCTGAGCTGTTCGCTCTTCCCAAACTGAGACGGCGACACCTGCATCCTGCAGGCTCGTTGTGACCATCGGAAATGATGAGGTGAGATGCACAGCACAGAGCCTAGCCCATAGTAGACCCTAACACACACACCGTACAAGCTATTGTTACCTCTAAGCTGTTAGGAGACTCCTCTGATGAAATCAGAACTGAAAGAGTTAACCTGCAGATAAACGACTGACTCAAAAGCCCTGCTGAGTGAGGGTGAAGGAAGAAAATGGGGACACCTAGCCTGATGAAGAAGAGTCCAGTGGTTTATGAGACCTGCGCACTGGACGTCCTGGGGGGCAGCAGGAAATGGCACTAAATCAAATAAGGGAGACTTTACAAGGGAGCTGATTTCCACTGGGTCTAAGGAAGGATGGTCACTGCCGAGGAAGAGAAGTGATCTTGGCAAGTTGTGAGCTCCCCATCACTAGGGGGCACAAGCCGAAGCAGAAGAGCCTGTGGTGGGAATGAGGAAGGAGGATGGGGAGCAGGAGGAGGGTAAGGACAAGCCGAAGCAGAAGAGCCTGTGGTGGGAATGAGGAAGGGGGGTGGGGAGCAGGAGGACGGTATGGACCAGATGGCCTTTGAGGTCCCTCGAAGCTGGGCTCGGGAGCGTCTGTAATCAGCCTTGTCTCCTCCATCTAGCAACATGCAGAAACGAGGCTGCTGAGTGGTGAGCGGCCCGTGGCAAAGGACACGAGGAGAGCCTGGCCCATCTTACCTGGTTATCAATTTTCAGTTCCACCAGAGAAGTGTTATGCGGGAGGGCTTCCACCAGGCGCAGGATCCCAGCTCCAGAAATGAAGTTGGATTCCACATTCAGCGTCTTCAACACCTTGTTCACCTTGAGCATCTCAGCAAGGGCCTTGAACCACAGGAAAAAAGCAGGGGTAGCTGTGAGTCTCCCTGGGCAAGGCTAGAGACCCTCTAGGGTAGATCCTAAAATATCAAAATACCAAGGCAAGCAGGCAAGCAGGCAAGCTGATCTCCACAGCTCCTTTCACCATCCTAGTTTTCCTCTCCTCCCACCCGCCATGGCTCCCGGCTCCCTACTGGAGAATTCTACATTGCTCAGCCTGCGTCCACAGCCTGTATTACCTGGTGCTACTCCCCTGCTTTGTCAGCTGTCTTGGCTCTTGGAGGTGGGGCTTCAGTGCTTTCCTGCCACTTGACCTTTGCCTATTCCATCTCTGCTACCTGGGATGCTCTTTCCTGCCTCTCTCATCCAAAGTTCGCCATCCTTTGAGGCCATTCTCAATGCCCCTTCCCCCAAGAGCTTTTACTAACAATCCCAATTGGCTGTGGCCTATCCTCTAAACTCTCATGGAGTTTATTCCTAACTCCCGCAGAGAACTTGTTGCCTGGTCAGAGGAGTGTTTATACCAGTGTTGCCACTGCCATTAGGCTGTAAATCTGGGGAGGGCTGACAATGTGCCTTGCCCGCAGTGTTCATACAGTGCTCAGCACACAGTAGGCCCTCAGACAGTGTTCACTGTGTGACCAGTGGGACCTCAACTTCTTCTATGTCCTCTCCACTTATCTCTTCTAGTGCCTTGCCGAAATTCCATGGAGTCACAGTTTTCCTTGTCTGAGCACCAGACGGCAGAAGAGGGCCACCTGAGAAACCACCTGCTGGGTGAGTGACCCGGGCACACTGAAGGAGAAGTGGGCTGGCCCCGGCACGTTTCAGAGGGACTCAGCCAGGGGTGTAGATGACAAGCAGAGCCTCTGCAGGAAATGAGGTAATTAGCAGCTGGTGGAAACAGTGTGTCATGGAGGAAAGAAGACACCAGCAGCTGGTAGGCCCGGGACGTGCTGATCGGTGGGCCCCGCGGTCTGAAATGACACTCCAAGCCAGGAATGCTGCCCATTGTCCCTGCCTGGCTAGAACCCCAGCAGAGGCTCCACTCTCAGGAAGTCTCCTGGGTGGAAATAATCTCTCCTTCCCCAGCTCCCCCTACCTCAGTGTGCCCCAGGGATGGCATGTCACTTTCTCTGTAACCACACCTGTGTCTCTGACTAGGGTGGCCCTTCCGGGGATGAGTGGGGTAGTCTGTGTCCTACCTGTACCCTACACAGCACCCCCCTGCTCCCTGGGAGAGGCCTGACTTAATTATCAAAACCACTCATGACATGTAGTGTATTCTTGAAACATGCAAAGAGAGTGGATGGGTAACTGCACGAGGTAATGTGTTCATTCAATAGCTAGACTTGACCCTTCCACAGTGTATGTCTACTTCAAAACATCTTGCGGTACCTGATAAACACATACGATGTTATCTGTCCGCTAGACGCAGAGCATCTGGCTAGGTAAGGCAGGTAAGTGAACCAGGCCAGTCTGACTGGACATGCAGTCCAATGGCTGAGCAGGACCTGGTGGCCCGGTCAGGTCAGGCTCTCACTCCTTATTTGTTGGTCACAGTGGAGGAATGGGGGCCCAGGAGAAGAGCTAGAGCAGGCAGTGGGGAGCACTCCTAGAGTTCCAGCAGCCTAATTTCATCAACCAGTCCAGAAAAAGCTCAATATCTGACCACAGGCACACTGAGATGGACTGATGTCAGCTGTCGGTCCAGCACAGAGTCTGCCAGAAAACGTTCGTGGCACTGAGCTGGGTGCCAGCATGGGCGTGCTCGGTTTCTGGCCTAAGGCATAGATGTATGCACGGCATGCGGCTTTGCCAACTGTGTCTCTGTGGGCAAACTCAGGATCAACTGGACATCTTCTGAGGTTAGAGGTCATCAATCCAGAGGTTCTCCAGTGGCAGCAATCGGAGACTATGAGCTATTTCTATCACTTAAAAAAATACATTCAAGGAAATTATCCTATTTTAAAAATCAGCAGAAGTTGATTGCTATTAAATGGTGAGTTCCCATGCCCAGCAAGCTAATTCCTGCACTTTTGCCTGCCACTTGTGTTGTGGAGACCACAATGTACCGGGATCCTCCAGGTTCTACGTGGCCACACAGACCGGAATGTTCATGAAAGTGGGAGCTGAGACCGTCTGGTCACAGTCCAATTCTCAGAGCCTCATTAGTGCTGGGCACAGGCAGACTTTCAATAAACATGCTGAATATTTTTTAAAAAAGAATTGATGGCTACTTTGTTATAAAGCGAGACAATTTAATTTGATTGGTATTATCTTTTTTTTTTTTTTTTTTTTACAGAAAGCGAGAAATCCCCCCCCGCGGGGGTGGCCTCACTGCAATCCCTTCTTCTCCATTCTCCTCTCGGGATCTTGGTCATGCACGCATATGCTCCTGGTGTGAGTTTAAGCCACAGGGTCCAGGACTACATGGGAGTCCAGTGACAGAGCCATTATGCCAACTGCTGGTTCCATGATTGGTATTATCTTTTAAGACATGGGTGAAAAACAAACTGGGTCATTGCAACCCACTGATGACCTTGATTTTAGACATGGAGAAACTGAGGCCCAGGAACTGTGATGCCAAGTGCAGAGAGATCCAGCTTTAGGGGTCGTGTGTTTGTATTGAAACCTGGTTCATCACTTGTTTGCTGTGTGACTTGGACAGAGCAAGTTTCCTGACCTCTCTGAACCCTACATTCTTCCTGTGCAAAGTGGGGAGTTGTGCATCACTGGCACCAGCAGTGGTGTGAGCACGAGCTGGGATGACACACGAATGGTGCCTGGTGATGGCTGTCCTGTCCGTGCCTGTCCTGATTCCTAGCCCACTGCCCTTCATTGTACCATGCAGGGCTCTTCATTTATGGGATACAAGCAGCTCTGAAACCACAGGCATCTCCCTTCTGTCGCTAAGCCCCCAACCTCAAAGTAGCAGAACAGAACAGAAAGGTACGCACATACGCTACGGGGTCATTACTCCTCGTCCCCACAATGCTGAACTTCTTCACATACGAGTTTTCTTTCAGGGCTTCTGCGTAGGCCTTGAGGGTGGGAATGGGGATATTCTGCAGAGAGAGAGGTAGCAGAGTGACCAGCAGCCCGAAGTCAGGATGGGGTGGGGCAGGTAGGCAGGGCAGCGCCTCTCACAGATGTGGCCCGGCTCCTCCTCACTGATTCCTAGCAGAATTCCTTTTCTCAAACAGCTGAATAAATGAAAGTTTTCTGCTTTGTTCCAGGTAGGTAAAATTTGGGAAGAATTTCTTTGTAAATGGATGGAGAAAATTCTTCCAGCAAATTTCAGGTAGGAACTGTAGCTCTCTCGGAGCACGTGGAGGCCAGAGAAGAGGCAGAAGTCCAGGTGCAGAGACTGGAGGAGTGTTGCACAAAGAACTCAGGACGGAGTGCCAGGGGGTGGTGGTGAGTAGGGCTTGGTCTCCACCCCAGTGATGTTTCTGATCTGCTGTGTGACTCTGGGGAAGTCTCTGTCTCTCTGGGCCTGATTCTGGATAACTGATGGGGGCTGGCATTGTATTAGATGTCCTCTAAGAGACATCTGCCCCAGAGGGACTTGGCTCTGGCTACACAGCAGAGGTGCCTAGGGAACTTTCATAAAATGCTGCGCTTGGACCTGCCCCAGACCAATAAAATAAGAATCTCCGGAAGTGGGCCTAGACATTGGCATATTTCGTTTTTTTTTTTTTTTTTTTTTCCTATTTTCTTCTTTAATCGGTAGAGGGCATGTGCACTCAGCAGACACACAGGGACTGAGAGATGGAGGGAGAGGGAGAAAGCACCCCTCGGTGGGATGCAGTCATGCCACAATCCTCCATTTCTCCATTCTGTTGGGATTTGAGGTACACATGCACATGTGCCTGGCATGGTTTTCAAGCCACCAGGACTGGGGTTTGAGCTGCAGTGAGCCATGTGGGGCCCAGCTCCCTTAACCACCCTAGACCATGGAGCTGGCCCATTGCTTTTTGGGTTTTAATAAATTCTTTTCCTTCAAATTGATTTCTTTATTTCTTCCACAAGAGAGAAAGAGACAGAGAGACAGATGCCCCCAACAAAATCTTCACAGTATAATCCCAGGCAGCTCAGATCACAGCGACACGTGCTGTGTCCTTTGGAAGGTCTTGGAGAATCATGGCGGGACCTTTCCTGTGTGGGCCCAGGTGCATTATCACTGTGCTACCCCCTGGTCCCTGTTTGGTTTGCTTTTAAATTCCCTTATGTATTTCTTCCATGAGCATGAGAAACAGAACCAGAGAGATACCATCCCTGCCAGGGTCCTGACACCACAATCCAGCCCTGCTTTTCTTTTGTCCCCACAGGGCATGTGCACTCACCAGAGAGACAAACAGAAAAAAGGGGTGAGGGAGAAGGCATCCTTCAATGGGATGTGGTCATGCCACAATCCCTGGTCCTCTGTTTCTCCATTCTTTTGGGGTTTGGGGCACATACACACACACACACACACACACACACACACACAGACACACACACAGTGTGTTTTTCACTGGCCAGGATTTGAACCATGCTTGGCCATGTGGGATGCAGCTTTCCTTACCCACTTACAGGGATAGCCCCACCTCCTTCTTGAACCAGCCCCTGACCATATGCCTGGCTCCTCAGGGAGGTCTGCAGAAGTGAACCTGGAGCCTTTCCACCTGGGTCGGCCTCACCGAATGTCACGCTTTATCACCGCACCACCTTCCACCCCCAGGGATATTTAAAAAAATCTTTTCAAGTGAAAACCACCAATCTGGTCCAATCGCCTCATGAGGCAGAGAGGAAACTTAGGCCTTGGCAAAGGCCTCATGGTGCCATGCCCTCATGCCATGGTACTCACGGCCAAAGAGCGCAATTCCGAATCCAGCCAGTGCCTCCCGCTGGGCACCTGGCAGACACCTGAGGTGC